TTTACAAACATATTTTCTTATTAATTTGTCTATTTTCCATTTTTAGTTACGTTTATGGAATATAAAATACGTACTTGTGAAACGTCAACCGGGATCCTTTCAGGAATTTTTTATTGCAAACTATACAAGCTCTAGATATGATTAGCATTTATTTTAAAATAAAAATACACTTATAAAGTTTATAAAAAGGCACCTCGTCCAAATTGTCTTCGGTAGCCACAAAAACCGATCTTTTTAAAAACGAAAACAAGAGGTTTAATGAAATGTCATTTATCACAAAATACGCACGTTATTTAAATTCGCCAATCATAAAACAAACCCATTTGAGTAACACCTCTAGACTTATATGCTCTAAGGTGTTGCCCTTGTTATTAAAATTGTAACAAATCTATTACTATTTTATTAAAGTGGAACTCAAAAATATACCTCTAAATGTAACAGCTGTTGTACGGAAATCTAAACTTGACACTGGGAATAATATATTTAAGGTAAACTTTACCTTTTGATTCAAAATTCTATTACAATAAATTAATTGGTATGACAACAACGTGAATTTAAAGCAAATTATAGATTTAGCGAACTAAATTTAGGAGACCATATTGAATCATTATTTAGAGCAATAAGAGGACATGGTAGAAATAGGAGAAGGCGGGACAGAACGGGGTACTTAACGTTTGATGGTTAACTGTCACTACAATATTAACGAAAAAAATGTCTTTTTGCTATCGGTGTATTACTTAATATGTAAATTAGGCCTTCTCGCCTTTTTCAACAGTTAAATAAATATTCTAAAGAAAATAATTATGAAAAAACAAAAAAGTGCATTTTGCCCCATTCCGCCCCATGGGCGGAGTAGAATGGGGTTTTTATATATTTTACCAGAACTCATATAGGTATATGTGGTTAGATTTCCCATATAGCTCGTGTTAATGGTGAAAAATGGTATTAAAAATATTAAGTACACATAATTTTATTATTTGTTTTATTAAAATAGCTAAAACAATTAGAAAAAAATCAGACAAAAATCCACTTACCATTGGCACTCTTCACAAACAAGCACAAATTCGCCGCCATCGCTATCAACGCCGGCACAGGCATTTGTGACACGCTAAACAGCAATCCATCCATTCACAACAATAAAGACATTCTACGTCACTATTTTCATCTGAAGATAAATCAGAACCTACCTTTTTAATCGACACTTTTTTGGAAGGGTTTAGCTTCTCTTTCTTAATGCTACTTGCTTCGCTCCCATTGCCAATAATTTTTCTTTTAACGCCTTCTTTCTTCTTTTACGAAACCTTTTTTGTAACTGCTGCTGCCTCTAGTTCTTCCTTATACGGAGTTGTGGTTAATATTGCTGTTTTACCTCTCTTGCGATTAGCTCTTTTAACTGTTTGTTGGATTTTTGGAATAGGTAAAGCAACTTCTGGCGATAAACAGGGAAAAGAAGACTTCTTGACATCGGAGGAGGCAAATTCATTTGGCGCTTTCCATGAAGAGCAACCTGGTAGGGGATTTAAAATGTTACTAGCTGATACAGTTGAAGGAGATTTAGTTGATTTTCTTACATCCGTTTTATTTGTAGCATAAGGTGATATTGAAATTGAAGGTTCCGTTGGCGTCTCAACTCTTGGTGCAGTATAAGAATCATTAGCTAATGGAGGGGTATTGTTTGTAATGTCCGTGGTAGCAGCTGGTAAAAAATCAACTTCGGTAAAAACGTTTTCATCTGGGGGAAAAATCCCAGTTTTGCGAAATCAGTTTATCGCTGTTTTCATAGTGGCTGCGTTTAGAAAGGCATTACCAAAAAGCGTGGAAATTTGAAATATGGTTATCACCTTTCCTGAATTGCAACGCAGCCATGTCCGAACTTAATGTTCATAAAAAGTACTTAACGGTTTCATGAAGGAAACGTCAACTATGATTTGTGTGCGGTGGAAAGCATATTATTACACCATTCTCACGTGCATGCAAAATTAGGTCAAGATTTTTGATATGGGTTGAATGCCCATTGAGCAAAAGAAGAACTGGATTTTCTTTTGTTGCTTTAGAAAAAAAAAATAAGCTTAAACCAATTGAGAAAAAAGTTCCATCTAGAATCACTTACTTCTACTACTGAACCAGGTGGCAAGCCTAACTCAAATGACAGTTGCTTCCGTTTCTGTGGAAAAATTAGCATAGGTGGCATATATACTCCAGCAGCAGAAAAACAGATTTCAGCCGTTATGGTTTGTCCTCGTTCAGCGGAAGTTAAGGTGCCTACCTGGCGTTTTCCTTTTAAGGCTAAAATTTTGGTATGGCCCCTTTGAATTCACAGTCAACCCCGTTTCGTCACAGTTATAGATACGTTCTGCATCTAGTTTATGTGTGTCTATTGTTTCCAAAAGAAGGCGGAAAAATTGTGACACCGCAACCCTATTAAACCCCATAGCTCGAGCTCCCGAAGTTGATTCTGGTTTTCGTAGCGTCAAAGTAGGGTGGCGTTTTAAAAAACATTGCATCCAATCCTTTCCATCCATTTCGGATGCAACATTAAATTTTTATTGGCACTGATTTTGTATAGCTAATTGATAAGCCAAACGTCTAAAGTCAATCATAGTCAAGCCAAAAAGTCTTGATTCCATTAATTTTAAATAGTTGACAAGTTCTCTCTCCTGTTCTTGTAAAAACACGCAGTGAAATTTCCCGGCAGATTTATCAACAGCAAAATTTTGCTGATCCTTTTTTTTTTCGTGACATACCTTTCTAAAGTTGTTTGGGGCACACCAAGTTGTTCTGCGGCCCTCATGTACCTCATTTGTCCAGTAATAATGACATCAACGGCTGCGTTCATAGATTCGGTACTCCATTCCTGGCGCTTTGTCTTCCGAACATAATTTCTAACAAAACACCAAATTGTACCCCATTCTGCCCCATGTGCAACGTTTCCTTTAAAAGTAAAATTTTTGAAAAAAAAAAAGACCTAAAGTAAAGCTAAAGTGATGAAAAAAGTTGCTAAACAACGTTCTTTGTATTACATAATTGAAATAGATTAAATTTTAATAAGCAAATTATTTACGGTGGTTAATATGGACGGCAAAAGTTACAAATCAACACGAACTTTCCAGATATTAACGTTTTTCGGACAACTGGCATATCTAATACGTTACCGATGCTTTTAAGTGAACTTCAGTGCAATTTCGGATATTTCCGTTCACACATTCGGTTTTTTAATGGCATTCCCCGTTCTACCCCGCTCCTCGTTCTGCCCGGCCTTCCCCTAATAATAATTCTACCCAAACTGGACAAATAGGTCCATTGGAAGTCCATTTGACGGCCGAGTAAACGTTACAACACATGTAGGTAGTTGAAATTAATAAATGTTGAATGTAATAAGTAATTTTACCATTGAATACGCCCATGTAGACAAACTAGTTTTGCGCTTCCAGTTTAATATGAAGTTCAGTAGGAAAAACTAGCAGCTGCTGAGACAACAAAAATGGAACCCTGAATTTTGAATATTTTTTTAATTGGCCATGAAATTAATTATTTATTAATTATACAGGGTGTTTCTAAATTCATGCGACAAAATTCAGAAGGTGATTGCTCGTATGAAATTAAGATGGATCTTACATATAACAAAATTTCCTCAGCCCACCCCTTTCCGAGATATCACCCTTTAAAAGGTGGTGACTAAAATAGAGTTTTTATTTTTTTTCCAAATATTCAGTTAAGCTAGAAACTTGAAATTTTGTAATTTTCGTGCACTCGCAAAGGACTAACCACGGGTATTTTTTCAATATTCATTATAGGGGGGGTGAAATTAGCAACCCTTACTTTATTTCATAGCAAAACTTTTTTCCATGATTAAGTTTTATGAAATAAAATTATAACTTGAAATCTTTGTTTTATTTAAAAAAAAATTATTTTCTTAAATTTTTTCCCAAAACCAATAGCTGCAGAGAAAAAAAATAAACACCATAATTTATAATTTTTTTAATAAAATGAGTGGAAAACAGTAACGATGTAAAATGTAATACGATTCATAATAAATGCTGGAAATGACCACCTATAGCCAAAGTACATTACTGAAATTTTAGAAAAAACATAAAAACTCTGTTTTAGTCACCACCTTTTAAGGGTGACATCTCGGAAAGGGGTGGGCTGAGGAAATTTTGTTATAGGAAAGACCCATCTTAATTTCATACGAGCAATCACCTCCTGAATTTTGTCTCATGAATTAAGAAACACCCTGTACAGGTATGGTTTATTTTCATTTAATATAGACAAATAAAAATAAGAAATTTACATAAACGATAGTAAATAACACAGGTATTTTAATGTTTGAAGAATTTCCAGTTCAAAAAAAAAAGAAGAAAATTGATAAATTTATTTTAACCGTTTATTAAAAAATATATTTCTGCTCCTGTAGTTCTGATTAGCCATAAATTTAATTACTTAAATCGTATCAATTTTACCATTGATTTATTTAAATGTTGTTCCCTATATCTGCGTTAGAATACAATCGTAGATTTAAATTGTTAATGTCTCTATAAAATGTTTACACCTTTTTTTATTTGAAATTTTATAAAAAAAACAAGCTAAGCTAAAAAATTTACTAAATAAATAAATTAAAAATTCTATAAAATATGCTAGGTATTTTTATTAAAGGTAGGAAAATATTTTGCTGAACGTATATGTGGCAGTTCATTACGAATTTATAGTCTAAAAATAGTTTCGAACGATTTTCATATGTTACGAGAAAAAAATTGTTAAAAATATTTTCCTGTTTATCTATTTAATTTATAGTATCATGAATTTTATTAGGAATTTAAACAGAAATTTGTACAATATATTTTAAAATAAAAGAATTTTTTGATTGATTTAATTAATTAAGTAAATAAATAGGTACAAACTTACAAAGTTTGCCTCAAATAAGTTACTGGTTTGGCTCGATTCCATATAAATGTTTTCCGTTGAATTTGAATACAAAATACCAAGCATTTCATTTTGTCTCATCTCTAATCAAGATACAGCGAAGTTAAGCGTAAAGAGAATGATAGAGCATTTTTATAACTGAACTGTTCTGCAGTATAGTGTATTAATTTTGTATTTGTTAATTAAAGCTTTCATATATTGCAGATGTAAATAAAAATAATGATAATACGAAATAAAATTCAGTTACGTTTAGTTTGCCTTACAGTTGGTCTTACACATTTGGTAAGAATATACGCTTTTGTTTACTCAATCAATAACACATAACCTCAAACTTGTAGAGGTGGACACTTTCAGTACAAAATAACGCTCCTAATTTTCTATATTTTTAGGTTTTGGTATTATTGCGTCTTTATGAACGAATATGGGAATTAATTATTTTAGAAGAACCATTTATTTACCATGAGCATCGAATAATAATAGTTTCGTATATAGTGCAAATATTAACAATTTCTTTGCTTATCTACGGTTGTAGAGCGGTAAGTTTGTATTTAAATATTAAATAGCTGAATGAGAACGAATGCTTGATTATTGGTCAGTTGTGTTACTTTTGTTACGAGGGGGCGTTTAAGTATTGTTAGAGCAGGATTAGGAGACGGAGTTTTAAATTTTTCTTATGTCTGCTGACAAAGAGCGGGGGAGATATAAATCTTACGTAAAATAAACATGTTAAAAATAATTAATTTTTTAAATTTTAATACTTATTAAAAGTTTTTCACGATTTTCTTTTTTTTTGCATACACAGGGCAAGTAAGTAAACTGATTTTAGACCCGGGGGTTGGGGGTCTAAAATCAGTTTACTTACGTAATACTTGAACGCTCCCAAGTTCTTTTTTTTTATAGTAGAGGAAGTGAGCCAAATATGAAGTACTGTTCCCAGCTAGCACAAAAACATCATATCTACGTTAATAAGTTGCAATTTTAGGCTCTTTAAGCTCGCATGCAATGTACTTTTAATGTAACCCTAATATCCCTGCAACCGCCGAATGTCCGCAACGGCAAGACTTTTATAGCACATGTCACAGAGGTTACAAAGTGAAGTTTGAAAAACAGCACACTAGCACTTTAACGGTAGTTACACTGACAGTTGCTCTAAAATAATCTATAGATGTTATAATGTGAATTAGGTCTACAGCATTATACAGTGTGTCCACGGATGGACTTAACTATACTTACTTGTAAAAATATTTATTTTAAATTAAAAAAAATAATTCTTCACAATTTCTTTTTCTTGTTAAATACGATTCACATTAAAAAATTATGAAAAATAACCTTTTTTTTAATTTAAAATAAATATTTTTACAAGTATAATTAAGTCCATCCGTGAAGACACTACCCAACAAACAATAAATTGCCGGAATATTGCTGGCCTTTTGCTGTAATTGAAGGGAATATGAATGCGACGATTAAAAGATAAAAGCATACTTTTGGCCTTTCGATAGTGGCCCAGCATTATGTTGCTTGATGATGGCCTTATGAAGGGTAAGTAACTGTATTGGGTAAAAGCATGGTAAGAGTCAAAAGGCTTTTAACTGCCGCAGACCCAACTCCTACAGTCCAGGAGGGCTCCGTTTCGCATTCATAGATGGAGACACCGATGATTGCTTGTTACATACTCAACGAGTGGACATGTACTATGAGGCCAGTTTCGCATTGCTGGTATTCACTATTCAGTATTTATTGTAATTTTTTACTTTTACATGTTAATTTAGAATATTTTATTAATAATTTTTTCGAAGAAGACATTTTTTCTGTATTAATATATTATATAGCTGAATTAAAATGTCTACAATATTCTATATTGAAATGCCTTCTGTTTTTGTATAGAATTTATAGTTCAAACGGTACTACTGGTCAAAGAGGCACTATCGAATATTCTGCCTAATTATATTCCTGACACATGGCCTTTATTAATATAGTAAAAGGCCAGCAATTTCCCGTTAACTTCCCCTTAATAGGCCATTAATTGCCAATATATTTATTTCTAGACATTAAAGGGGAAATGAAGGCCCATTAATTGGTTGTGATGGCAAAGTGACTTCGGCCCGACTGTCGGCCGTAGTGACCTATATAAGCCGGTATTTTAATTAAAAAAGTCAAATGGCCATCAATGTAATTGGAGCGTGACAGTTATTGGGCCTTTAATTCCCCTACACAAAATGTTTGCTGGGTATGTTGTTCTTTTTGTAATATAATACAGAGAGGCTGAAATTGAAGTTTTAGAAATCTCAATCGACACATGAAAATTTCAAATAAAACAAAATATTTTATAAATTTATTATTAAAATGTTCTTGAAATCAAGTACCAATATCACAAAAGTAGAGGTAGATATATCACATACGCAATTACATATGTGCGATAGTAGAACCACCTATAAAACACTGAACGATTGGACAAAATTAGCTAAATAGTAAAATAAGGTACCAATATTGCAAAGGTTCACTAAAAGTTTAAACAGTGAACGATTGAAAAAAAGTATATTTATATAAGGTATGTTTTAAAGGTTCACAAGATTTTTTACCAAGATGGCGATTGCACGCCTCTAAAGCTTGATCGGTGAATAATAATAGACGACTGCAACAATGACTACGTACATATTACACTGATTTCTTACCTGTAGACGCAAAGATATATCATCTTTTTAAAAATCAAGCCTTTTAACTTTTTTTTGTATATATATGTACCTATATTTTTATTTTGTTAGTTTATTATTTATGAAAAGGTGATAAATATTCTTTTATTGTAATCATATGTGGCTTGGAAATATTTTTATTTATGCTATAATGTAACATGAATATGACAATTTATAAGAAGAGGATAAATTATATTTTTATATAGAAAGATTTTACTTTTCCACAACATATTGAATCAAAAAGAGATTGACCTACTTGTTTAACTATTATTAAAGGAAATGATATAGAAATTAAAAAATATATGCTCAAGTTTAAATCATTGCACTTATTTTTAGATAATTTTTAAGCAAGATATTCTGATGTGTGCTCGAGCAGCTTATTCTGTGATTTCTCTCAACTTTTCTTATAGGTTTGTACTTGAACTCATGATTAGATTTCCAGGCACAACAAGCCTGTTGATGAGAATAAACTGCTTAAATATAGACGTACCATGTAGGTACCTAGCTGTAGATTCACTTTTTACAAAATTTCAGGTGTTCTTCTTTAGACTGTCTGTAGCATTTATTTTTGCTTCTAAAATTCATAGAATGTCATCAGGTACAAAGGAAACCTAAAATATAATATTTTTAAAATGTATTTTTAGTTCGATTAAGTATACTATTACCCAGAAGTTAGTTTTATATACCTCTTTTATAAGTATTTATAAGTAAAATGTAACTGGGCATTCGGTTAAATGTTTTTCTTCCCGTTTACGACGTTTATTTACACCATTCTTTGTTTTTATAGTCGTTAAATAATTTTGTATTGGGTACCTATATTAAATTTTAATTTGAAACGAAGAAAATGGTTTAGAAAATAGTTTTCTATTTTAAAAGGGTTCTTACCAATTCTACTCAAATGTATAAACATTATTTATAAAATAAATTCTCCAAGTTAAAAAACAACCATCAAAAACATGACATACGACAAGAAAGAATGACAAGTGACAATTGATATAAACATAAACGTTCCGAATTTAGACTGTGATGTTTTTTTAGCAAATTGCTTTATTACCGTATAGTCGGGTGACTTTAGCTCAAATCAGTAAATAGTTATTTTTGTTCACAAAAAATTATACGTCCTATTCTTAAACTAAAACTCACGTTGGTTGAACTGTAAGCTATAAAAACTACCCAAAACAGTTTATTTAAAGACAATTGGACGCTTACGGTTTTTGTAGTATAAAAATTTAACTCATTGCAAAATAATTAAAATTTTTAGGTGATAAAATTTGTATGCAACCAACAATACTGTTTTCACTAGACCTTTTACATTTACTTTTTTTTCTTGACATTGTTGTCACATGTATTTTTTTCTGGAAAGTGCCGAAAAAAATATGTACCCATATCTGTTTTTTTTTGTCTTATTCCTCTTTTTGTAAATTAACTTACTCAGCTTCGGATAGAATATGAATGAGTCAATAAATGATACTACTAATTTATCAAGGGTGCTATGTAAAACAAATCGAGTTGACAGAAGTCTATATTTGTATTAATTAGTGCAAGAGAAAGCAGGTATTAAAAAATGTTTACCAAAAGTGAAAAGCCCGGTGCGTTTTACTTTATATTGAAAGTAGATCAATTACACATACACAAAGAAGATTTAGAAATATGTTTGAAAAAAATTCGCCAACCAGAAATTCTATTTTAAACTGGGTAAGGGGTCTATTCTATAACAATTCCTTTAAAAATATTTTCTTCTTAACTTCTGTCATTATTTAAACGGATTTTTAAAATACATTAGAGGACTATCTTAAAGAAATCTGTTTAAATAATGACATAAGTAAATTAACGAATACAAATATACTTTTAAAGGCCGCCAATATTTTTAAAGGCCGTTAAATATAAAGGAATTGTTACAGAATAGACCCCTAAGTCAGTTTAAGGAAACGGGAACATTAGATAGAAAAAAAAGACAAATTTAAAACGCTCAAGATATTATTTTAAATGATGTTATATAGATAAGGGAAATTTTAGCAAGAAACAATAATAAAATATCTATTAGAAAAATTGCCCAATCCATACATATGTCAAAGAGTAAGGTGCATAAAATTTTAAAAGTAATCAAGTTTAAAGCATATAAGGTTTAGACTTTTCATAAAATTTAAAATCATGCATTTGAAAAGAGGGTTTTTATGTGTGAGACGTTATTAGATTTATTTAGACATCAACCAAATGTAAATCTAATAATGTCAGATGAAGCAACGTTTCATTTAAGTGGACGCGTAAACAAACAAAATTGTAGGATTTGGGGTGACGAAAATCCTAGAGCTTTCAACGAGTTTGAAAGAGATGCTCCCAAGGTAAATGTATGGTGTGGTGTGTCCAAAACCAAAATTTATGGACCATTTTTCTTTCAAGAGGAAACAGTATATGGAAACAATTACACGGATATGCTAGAACTATTCTTTTATCCTCAACTAGAACAACTAAATACTGTATATTTCCAGCAGGATGGTGCTCCACCACATTACTCTCTTGTAGCCAGGAATTCTTTGAACTCAACCTTTGGAGATAAATGGATAGGTCGGGCTGGTCCCATCGAATGGGCTCCATATTCTCCGGATTTAACTATACCAGATTTTTTTATATGGGGGTATGTTAAGGAAAGATGCTACGATCTAACACCTACAAACTTAACTGAACTGAGGAATAATATAATTCATGTGTTTAATACAATTACCCCAGAAATGCTGCAAAATGCATTTACAAATTTTTTAATGCATCTGCATACATGTATTCAACAAAATGGAGGCCATATTCAACAATTAATTTACTAATGTTTTAGTACATATTTTTTGTATTCAATAAAAATTCAGATAGGTACCAACGTGGTGGGACATCACTTACGCCACAAAAATCCGTGTGGTATGAGGTGCTCCCCTCTGTCTTTATAAGTAAAATATCATTACTTGATATTATTCTGAAATTTATACCTAAGGCAATGAAAAACAGTATCTTATCAATGATCGTTCGATGTAAAACGTCAATTTATATTTCGATATGTGCCACCAAAATATAATAGACACCGTTAACATTGATTTAATTACCTAAAATTAAAACCTATTAAAGCAATAAAAAAATTATAAAAAATTGACTTCTTTTAAAAGGCGAAGAAATAAACCATCTAATGACTATGAGAGATACGAAATGTTTTATTCGCCATAAGACCTTAATCTGAATTTAATTTTTTTTTACGAAAACTTTACAAGTTTAAGATTTGGCAACTATGTCAGAAAAAAATTTAAACATTTCCAAGAATTTTGGTGAAAACCTTTTATCAATACATTGCCTTACTCCCAAATTATAATTTAATTAATTGTGATACTTTACGTTTGGAAGTTATTGACATGGTTGCATAAAAAAGTGAATGTTTCCCTAAAAAATAAAGTAAATGCTTACAATGTATACATTTTTGGAAAGGGGAAGAAATGGTCTTTCCGAGGATGTTAAAAATTATAGGATGTTCTATTTAAAATAAGCTCACAATTTTGGTTCAAAAAAGTTTTTTTTTTCGGCACTTTCCAGAAAAAAATTACATGTGGCAACAATGTCAAGAAAAACTTGAAGTAAATGTAAGTCTAGTGAAAACTGCATCTCGATATCTTTTTTAATTCTCGAGTTATAAGTTGTTAAAATGTGTCAATTTATAGATGTAGTTTGTGTTATTAGCTTTACCGTAAGCAATAAAAAATATTTTTTTAATGATAAAATGTGTTTTACTATCAACTGCGATAGGTGGCTTTAAATCAGCAAGTAATATTATAAAGAAAACAAATGTAAAATGATGGGTGAGTCAAAGTCACCCTCTGCCTGCGGGTTTTGCTTAATAATTCCTAAAATATAACTGAAGACTAAATTATGGCCAAAATGCGAAATTGGATTTGCTTTTATTTAACAATTAAAACTAGGTTTAAATTTTGACAGTGAGTCAAAGTCACCCGACTTTACGGTACGTTGTGTTAACATAACAGGTAGGTTAAATAGATAAGTAACAAATAGAAGTTTTACGAGGTTTTGATTTCCCTCAACAACTTCTCATGAACGTTGCATTTACGTTGTATAGTAATGTTATTACGTTCCCTTAAAGCAACATCGCCGAAAGGCTTAGCAATGATATGTGCTAGCTGGGTCGACATAGGGAGTCATCAGAAGAGGACGCACAGTGGGTCTAATGAGATATACGTGCCGTGGAGCAACTCACACTCCCCCCCCCCCCCCCCCCCACCTTACAAATACGTTTGAATAAAAATAATTTGAAACAAATACAAAATAGAACTATACTATGCAATTTTTTCAAAATTCATATTTTTTTTGTTAAAAAACTTGCTTTTATCGGGAACCAAACCCCAGTTCCGCAATTCAAAGCCCCATTATTACTCTATGCTACCTGTACTGAATTATAGCTATGACCTTAATTATTATGGAAAGCCTATTTTGACATTACATCAGTTTATATTTTTTTAGGATAGTCCAAATTTTACTGTACCTTGGTTGGTAATCACAACGCCTATATTTATACTATCTACATTGTACGGAGTCCTAGTCTTATTTAAAGATGAATTATCACAGACTTCTTACAACATCTTTAGTATTTGTATGTAAAACAACTATTTTTATATTTTCGCATGTTTTAATATTATCTTTATTGTTTTAGGTTCCGTTTGGTTAATGTGGTATTTCGTGTTAAAATACAACTTAAAGCAAAATACACTAATAGGAGGTTTATTGAAACATACAATTTATAAAAAATATATAATTTCGCTAAATTAACATATAAATTAGGGACCAACAAGTCGCATTTTATTTAAAGATAATTAAAGCTTGAGTTACAACATTGTGATATAAATTTACAAACAAATGTTAATTCTAAAAAATAAACAATTCTTAAAATATAACTGTTATATTTTATTAAACTCTTCTCAAAACTATTTTCAAAAAATAGTTAATATAAAAGTAACCTTTGTCTAAAATATCATAATTTCGATAGTCTCGTGACTTGTAAACATAGTAAGTAAAGGTCCAAAAAAGCCAACAAATACCTAAAACAAAATATAAATATTAGTAAAATTCAGAAGATAAGTCAAACTCCAAATCAAGGCCCCACATAAATGTTTACAAAATAACAGAAGCTACGAATAGAATAAAATATCAAGTAGTGAAAATGGTAACGTTATCTGTTCCTAGTACGCAAAATCAAAGGTCGCTCAGGTCCTACAGTAGTCATAGGAATTCCACAGGGCTCCGTCCTCGGGACGACCCTGCGGAACTTACTATACGACGATGTTCTTAACATAAGGTTCGAAGATGAAGAGACAAGGACGGTAGCATATACAGGATGACATCTGGCACTGTACGTAGAAGCTAACAACCCAAAAAAATAATACTTGGAAGAAGTAAATTATTGGAAAAAATTTAAGTATGGATGGAAGATCATAACCAGAGATAATAATACTAGAGGGAGGGGAGAAAAGAAATAATAATAAACTTGGGTGGAAATGAATTCAAACCAAAGAAGACACTAAAGTCGGAGGCCCTAGTCACGTAAGTAAAAGACTACTATAGTCCACCATTGTTAATGGAGCCCCAATCTAGTACAAGGCACTAAAAATCAAGAAAGCACTATTAAGGGTCTGCAGTGCATACCGAGCTTCATCTGCTGCATCAGTACAGGTGATAGCTGGAATTTTGCCCATTGAAATTTTAGTGGAAGAACAAAAAGAGCTATTTGATAGAGGAATATGTCACAGGTCCGAGACAAGAAATGAAACCAGAGAATCGTCAATTGCTAAATAGCGAAGCAAATGGGATAATAACGAAAACATAGCACAATGGCTAAAAAAGCTGATCGCAAAAATAAAAATATGGATAAAAACATTGTAAATTCAGAAAAATTGGTTATTACACAGTTTCTCACCAGACACGTCTCTTTTAAGACATACACACATAAAAAGGGTAAAACAAATTATGGTCAATTCAGATACTGTCTTGAAGTGGACATGGTCGGACATTCTATCTTTAAATGCCTAAGATAGGTGAGGAACAAGATGCAAATAAATGAATTAAATGAGTAAGAGGACCTAACGCCGAATAATATAGAAAAAATTATGGAAAACAAGGAAACATTTAACAAAATATACAAAGGACTCTCGAACCACATAGAAGAAAATGAGGAGAGAGATCAGAACGAAGAAAGGATAAGAAACAAATAAAAAACAAATAACCATAGGTGCTTGAAGAATTTTCCTCAGGAACGGTATCAACATCTGAGAGCGGAAGAAGGTGTTTTTAGGAGTTTTTAGTGGTAGGCTTGCAAATATAGATTTCCGCACTATCCCGGCGGTGAAGAACATACCGCCCAGCCTCGGTATTTCCAAGGACTGTACATAGAAGCATTTTCTCCACCACAAAAAAAGATGCTACAGTATATTGGTATATATATTCAAATAGCGCGACTTAACAAATTAAAATCACTACCTAACCTTACAAAACTTAAATTGTAAATAATTAATAGTGCCTTTAAATTTGAATGAATGTAGACGTCTTTAAAGAGACAAGTAATGCTAATCTTGATACTGATCATATTCTAAAGCAATCTATTCCAGAAATGATCCTATGTTCCAACCATATACAGTGCTGGTAAGATCAAACCTTCGGTCCTGCTTTGCCCGTGTTGAAGTGAATAGTAAACGACGTTATGCAAGAAAAGAAACTACACGCTATCTGTTTCGGCGTGCAATTATTTTTTGCACACAAACAAGTTTATAAATCGAAGAGAACTGTATAGCATAGTAAAATGACTATATACCATCCTTCCATAGGTTGGCTGCAAAGTTTTAGATGGTTGGTAATGCAAAGACACCCATGAATTACCATGTACCACGGTTTATTATAAAACAAGAAACAACACTACATTGCTTTTCATATATTTACAGTATTATATACATCCCAGCCAGCACAAACATTGATGGGAAGTTAGGCAACGTTAGTTTTCAATGCCTCATGTAAACATTTCAAGCTGATATTGTAGCAACCGCACTGTAGCGTTTCTAATCGACAATTAAACGTTACATTGCATTGTTTTCGAGAAATATACCTGATTCATTTTAAAAACATTTCGAAGGAACATTTTTTCAAGCTAAATAAAAACCTCCCAACGACATTTCGTTAGTGCATTTATGACAACATTACGATGAAATGTTGTTGAAATACTCATGGAATATTACTTATAAAGCGCGATAAATAAATGCACAAATTAATATTGCAGATACGTTGCGGTATATTGAATGGTAATATTACCTGAGAATCGCCCTTAAAGGTTGCTGGTTTATTGTACACGAATAAAAAAGAAGAAAAATTCCCTAACCTTAATTTATTTTTGCTGATTGAAGATCGAATGTTTAAGGCTTGGGTTGATGGAAGGCCCCTTTTTTTATAATATTCATTGTTTGTTTTTTACTTGTTTTAATAGTGATAACTTTCGTGCATATTTGCTGGGTAAGTAGCTACAAAAATTCTACAAATGTAAAAATCAATTAAGAGCCTTTCTGCTCGTCATAGAAGACGCCTTAAGCAGAAATTATTATTAAATGTTCCTTTGAACCACAGAAACCGTAGGGATCAGGTAAGTTCTGTTGAACTGATTTCTGTTGAACAACAAAATCTAGAGGTAGCCGCGCCATTGTAACACGACACACATTAAGCCAAATAATCAAGATTTTGACTTTTTTATTCTTATGAAAAAGCATTTTAAACAAATGAGATGTATAAAAATACATTTTACTTTCTTATTATTATATGTGAGTAAAAAATCCTATGTGGGTTGTTTCCATGATTTTTTCTACCTGTCAGTATATTTTGACACAAATATAAAAAAATTTCCCATTAAATTCTAATCTAAATTATATTAAATTCAAGTAACTCTTACTTTCAGATAAACATTTTGAAATCTGTTGGTGGCCACGATGCCAAAGATTCGACCCACAGGTTATTGAAATCCATAATGACCGATACTTTAGCTCAGATATGCTCATGGACTGGGCGCAAAAACAATTTTGAAATAAGATATCTCAAAATTTTTGATTTATTATATCGTAAGTAGAAGTTGTGTGATAAGTTAAATCCTGTACGAAAAAATTAAACCCCAAGCCAATTTATTTTATTTTGTCAGTCAATAGGGTAAAAATCAGTATTATTTTCCTCTCAAAAAAGTAGATCATATTTCAAAATATTTTTCTAGTCCAGGAGTGGTGAACCAGAAAATATCATCATGTACCGCAAAAGATTTTGAGAATTATGTCGCAGAGTGGCTGCGACATGCACATACCCGAAAAGTCCGAAAAGAGAAGAAAACATAAGAAAAAAATATAATGTGCACAATATGTGTTATTTAGTTTTAAAGTTGGTTTGTTGAATATGATTTAAAATTTATTCATAATTTATAAAATTCTTATAGGTATGCATACATATGTTTTACAATATAGTGTTATATTTGTTTTTTATTTACCTTGTTCATGTTTAGTTCCTAAAGATGTATACGTAATCATGGCCTACTAATGTACATATTTTAAAAATCTCACTAAATCTGGAACTTATTTTTTTTTGTCAATAACATATTTAAATTTGCATTTCTATAAAAATATTTACAACTGGAAATGGTATAGAGTAGAGGCGTTCGATGTTTCCATAATAACCAACCATTAATGTTAGGAGTGGGATCCAAACTTTTCAACGAGTTTAAAGTTTTTAACTATTTTTTTGCCATTTCCTTTATTTGTGTTTAATATTATTTTACAAATATGCTTATACTCTTCATTGGGGTAATTCCTTTCATATAGTAACCAAAAGACATTTTAACATTGCCTCAATTTTGAGATTAATAAAATTTAGGAAAACTAAATGAATAATTATTATTTTTTTTAAATGTTAATAATCTCAAATTTCAACAAGTTTTAAAATATCTTTCGATCACTATTGCCGCGCTTGAGAATCCACATCGGATGCATCTGAGATGTAGTAAATATTTGATCACGTGATTCAGTATACGTAAATGTAATGGGACAGATGTGTCCGATGTGGATAAAAAAACGCTCGAGATGTAAAAAATGCATCTGATGTGGATTCTCAAACGCGGCATATATAATAAGATATAGTCCAAAAAAAGTATTAAATACAAATAAAGAAAATTACAAAAAATTAGATGAAAACTTCAAACTTGTTATAAAGTTCGAATCTCCGTCTTAAGTCCAAATTTTGCGTTTGCATTTAAAATGTTCCAAGTATATTTAAATAGAAATGTTTTGGCGCACACATAAATTTACATTCCCTAAATAGTTATTCACCTTGTAGAAACGTTTCACTACGCCTTTCTACGGTGGTTCGAATATCTTTAGAATATATCATTGAAACTTCTATGCAATATTCTATTAAGGGCTTATGAGGCGGATATTTCAATGTTTCAGAAACGTTATGTCATACATACAAATAACATTGCTTGCGAGGTTTAAAGACGTATTGTAACATTTAGTAACTTTCCAGAAATGTTGCTGTGCTGGCTGGGATAGTTACTCAGAAGATTTAGGGGTTTATGATTGACAGCCTGTGTTATTTTTAACAGGTCTGTTATTTTATAAACACACAGAAATAACAACCTGTTTACAAATAACGTGTCTGTTAAAAATAACATTACTTGTCGATCATAACCCCGTTATTCTTATTAACGGCCATTAAAGGCGTGGGTTACTAAGATTGTAACCGCTCTAGTTATTTTCATTTTGTTTAGTTTGTATACCTTGGCCCAATTTAGTTCTTTAGTTAAATTCAACAGGGGCAGCTTTGAACCATATTTTGATTTTGATATTTGAAATGTTTTAAAGGTATTTTTAATAGTATCAATTTTGCAATTTACAGCTAGAGTCATAGGTTAATCTCGGCTACCTAGCAATAAATGGCAACGACGTTATAACATCCTCTTCTCTATGTGCATGCCAATGCCATTTACTATTCACTTCGACACACGCAAACCAGGACGAAAGGTTTTATCGTGCCAGGCAGGTCCGACGAAAGGGGGGGGGGGTAGCCGGGACAAATTCCCGAGGCTCGCGCTCAAGTGGGGGCCCGGCAGCGGCATAAGGGGAGCCTGACAGTTTAGGTAACGTTTTTTATTTTTTTGTTCGTCAGAAGAGCACAAGAGAACAAGAGAGAGGGCCTTCTTTTTTTTGGGATTTCATTAAAGAGGAGAAGTTTTTGCTTGAAGACCTTTTTTTGTTTTTTTAGAAATGTGATATTGAAAGGGCTTAATTTTTTTAAAAAATTGTTGCGAGGCCCGACCTAGAAAATTGTCCTGGGGCCCGACCTGGCTCTCGGCGGCCCTGGTGCCAGGACTGTGTATGGTGTGGCTGATTTGAAGGTAAATGAAAATTTATTCATTATCTTCTGTATGAAAATTGATTAATTTTATAAAGCAATAAATTCATTTTTCAGCAACAACCCTCGAATAATTAATTGAATATCTTACCAACATCAATAAAGCCATCCAGTAGATCCGAAAAACGGTACCATTTCATGTCTCTTAGAACTTTGAATGTCATGTATATGAATACTGGAAAAGTTATTCCCAACCATGGTATTAGTAAGCTAACAATGTTCTGAAAAATTAAATATTAGTAGTTTGTGCAACAAAAGTGGATATGATGGCCATATCGCACGAAGACGAAGTTTGACGCATTAGGCGGAGTGCTCAATCGTCTGAGTGCGACAAGGACAATCCACTCGAGTTGTACAGTATATTTTTTCTACGACGCACTAACGAAAATCTAAAAAGTTTAAAAATTATTTTAAGTAATTAAGATAACATAACTAAAAATATTTTATGACTTTTACTACTTTATATTATAAAATAAACTTTAAAATAATAATTTATTCTAGAATTGAACACAGGACCTAGTCACACATAATATTTTATTAGTTGGACCGAATTGTCACTTATTTAAAATCTAAAAATAATAGTAGTTGGCAGAGTTGGGTAGTATTCGAATACCCCGTATTCTGAATCTTATTCAGAATACATTTGGCTGGTATTCGAATACTATTCGAATACATTTGTGTTTTCTGTATTCGGTATTCGACTGAATACTTTTTAGTCAGTACTCGGTATTTTGGATTCAGAATACCATTTTTGAATCCTAGTATTCGAATACCCACTTTGTATTCGAATCCCGGTATTCGAATCCCGGTATTCGAATCCTGTTTTCGAATACTGTTTGATTATTTCTATGAATATTGCGATCTTTTTGAAATGTTGGTTTTGTTGAAGGCAAACGGGATAGGAAATGCTTTTTGATTGATGTTTTCTTTCTGATATCCAAGTACTAGTGCGTCGTTATGAATATTATATTATATTTTATTTAAAACAAAAAGAATTTATTTTAGGTTATTTATTATTTAAGATTATTTTTCAAGAATAGCTTCTTTTGCTAAGCAATTCTACTGTGTTACCTTATTGTGTTCCAATCTCCAATGAATGTACCAAAGAAAGTATTTTAAGTTTTATTTATTATACAGAGTTTCCCACGAGATACGCCTCGGACCATAACTCCATAACGGTGCAATTTTCAAAAATTTTGTAAGTGTCCTTTTTTATGTATATTCAAAAAAGCCATCTTTTAAAATTAGTTTTCGAAAAATGCACCGTTATGGAGTTATGGTCCGAGGCGTATCTCGTGGGACACTCTGTATAAGTAAGTAAGTTGTAGGGCATAGGTTATAGGTAATGGGAATTGTTTATTTTTTATTAAACAATAAGTTTGTGTTTTTATCTGACGGTGTACCAAAGAATTTTATTTTAACTTTTTCATTATTTTATAGTTATTTATAATTTTTTAATAAGACTTTAAGAAATAAAAAATCAACAAGTGTTTTTTATTAAACAGTTATTTTATTTAACCTCACTGTGACACTTTGTATCAAAAAATGATATTTCAAGTTTTATTTAACATAGATTTTTAATTCTTTTTACATCTTTATAAATTAACTACATAAATATTAATCAAGCTTTATGTGCGCACATGTTATTTGTACTTGGAATATTCATAAAGTATTCATATGTAAATGAATCCAGGTATTCGAATACAGCGGTATTCAAATACTTTTTTTTTCTTTGTATTCGAATATTAATTATTCGAATACAATTTAGAATACAGTATTCAGGATTCGTATTCGAATACCGGATTTCAGTATTCGACCCAACTCTGGTAGTTGGGTATATTGGTCACCCAACTTCTTGAACTGTGATTGGTGGATTTCATTTTTTGCCATATTCTTACTAGGTAAAATGGATATGAAATATATTTGATAAGTTGAACGCAATGGCATACTTTTTTGTTTTGTAGTCAACGGAAAGTAAATAATATCCATATGCGAAGTTATGGTGGTTAAACAATTTTATCATCACAAGAAGACCAGAGAATGATGAATAATATAGATGTTGCTTGTCGTTGGGATTTCCCTTTACTGCTAACGACTTAAAAACATTAGTTAAGTCATATTTAGATAGACAATGTGTTCAAAAATTTAGTAACAACTGACCTGGAAAAGACTGGATCTACGGTTTTTTAAAGGGACATCGTCAAATTTTGAGCATTCGTTGGTGCGACAATATTAACCCACATAACATCAATGTGCTATGAATATACCAAGAACGTTCTGTTTAAGTTCTTTTTATTATATCCTTTTAGAATGTTCTTAGAACAGTATATTCTAGAAAGTATATACTGAATACGTGCCTTAAAAGTATATTCCAAAAAGAATATATCGAGCACGTGCTATAATAGGACATTCTTAGAAGACAACAGTCATATACCGAGCATGTACCTCATATTTTGAGAATGTTCTAAATGCTTGCAGGTAAAAATAAACACCAAATACATGTAAAAACAAGTTTATATACATATCAATATAAATTTTTCCCAGATGCCGATCTAATAATTCGCTACCAAATGCACTAATGTTGAATGTTTAGGCCAAAAAACATTCTCAAACTGAAATAGATGAAAAGAAGAAGAATAACATAACCTACAATTCCTACAAATTTTTTTGATCTCGTTTGTTTGTAAGAGGTAATTCAATTAATAAAAATTAATTGCATCATATGTTCTATATGAAAATAAACAAATTTTACTATATTTATAGTTTTTAGGACCAATAAGTGACGTTAGAATACAGGATATCCCAAATATTAATTGCCAATGTAAATTTATTAATACTAATGGTGGATTGAAACTAAAATACAGTATTACCAGAATTACATACACACTTTCTATGAAAAAAATTCTGTAAGGCTAAAGGAGGACGAAAACTACAAAATGGTGGTAAGTAATTAACAAAAATATATTTAAACTTTCAGTAAACATCATAATCATTTATGTAACTCTTGTTTTTGTTAGTGGAATGCCATGTACAATTTTTAATGTTTTATGTTCGACAAAAATATTTAAAATATTCCATTAGCTATGTACACTTAATTTGTATATGTACCAAGTTTGTTAATTTTTTTTTTATTTTTTAGGTTCAATGAAGATCCAATAGAATCAAGCAAATGAAACTCAAGCCATTGATACAATAAAATATTGAGTGCTTAAGGCCAAAGATAGTATTTGTAATAAAAATAAGTATGAATTCTTTGAAATAAAGACTCATTATAACACTTATTCTTTAATGTTCAAAATTAATTAAACATCCTGTATTAAGGAGTCTAGTATATGCCTAGCATATGCTATATTTAAATACTTAACATATACTTAGAACATACTATCAAATTAAAGTAGATACCTGTTGCATACTTGAAGTACATTCTCAGTATCTGCATAGCACGTATAAACAACGTCACGTGGCATATGCTTAGCATATTCTGAGAATGTACCAAATGCAAATACAGTACATTCTCAGCATATGCGTATTCTTAAAAAGTATATACTAAGAATATGCTAAGAATGTATAATTGTTATCTGGGAAACGTGCTAGAGCAGGAATAAACAACGTTACGGTGAACGCATATTTTGAGAACTTGAAAAAACCTCGATGGAATCGAGCCTCATCTCTTAGTTAACTATGATGGAACTAATATCTCAGATGACCCAGAAAAAAGCAAAGTTACTGCTCGACGTGGGTCGAAACATGCTCATAGAAATATCGACTTATCCAAGACCAGTCATTCCGTCACATTTGCTGGTACCGCTTCAGGAACCTCATTACCTGTTTACGTAGTGTACAAGGCAGAAAACCTATATACCACTTGGACCTCAGGAGGCCCTCCTGGCGCAAGATATAATAGAAGTAAGTTTGGCTGGTTTACTGAAGCATTGTTTGAAGACTGATTTTTAATGGTTGCGTTAAAGTTTTTCAAATTTTTCCAAAGAAAGCCCACAAAACCCTGATTGGGAATAATTTGGCTAGCCATTTAAGTATAAATGTTATTCAGATCTGTGTAGAACAAAATATAAAGTTCATTTTGCGTCCACCAAACTCGACTCACGTTCGTCAGTCATTGGATGTGGCATATTTTAAACCACTCAAGTCTACCTAGGGAAACGTATTATTGGACTAGAAAATGAAGCATAGAGGAACTGTGCCCAAAGATGTTTTTCCTAGGCTCTAAATGACTTAATTAACTTGACGGTAACAATAATTCGAAGCGAAATCTTCAGGCAGGTTTTAGAGCCAGTTAATCGGAATGCAGTGCTGAAATTACTGCCAAAAAATAATTCTATTGTAACTTCTAACGTGAGCAACACTGTAATCGATAATGCTTTCGAAATATTTTTACAAAATCTTTATAAAAAAGAAACTGAACCTAAGAGGCAGAGAGCAAAAAATAAATTAAATGTTAAAGCAGGTGCCAGTGTAACGAATCTAGAAAAAAACAATATTGAAGTTGCTAACAAGGAAAATCAGGAACCAATCCCTACAATTTCAAGAGACCTGACGAATCAGCCACTATCAAATGAAGACGAGTCTGATACATCCCTTCCATCATTTGCAAATAAAATTCTAAAGACAAAACAAAAGAAAGCAAATGTATCAGTCTATGGTTCAGACTCTGATTTATAATCTGAAATTTGGTCTACACATGACAGCTCAGGCACTCCAGGAGACGTTGATAAATACAATATGGAAGATTTGACAAATATTGAAGTGGGAGAATTCGTCGTGGTAGGGTTTTCTTATAGCGCCCCAGGAAAGAAAACTGTCACAAAAAAAATTATTGGAGAAATTCTAGAAGTGAAACCCAATGATATACTTCGCTGTAAATTTTTGCGAAAAAGTTCCGATGGAAAAAACATTTTTATATTTCCACCAGTGTCTGATACGTCAAACATAAATAGAATTCAGATTATTTGTCGGACGAAGCCAAACTTATTGCTGTTCTTCAGGTTCAAACTAATTGTCCACCCTGAGTTCACATGGTAGATCCCAGCTCCTGTGCTGTTTTTTATTTTCGAACCGTCTGTATACCAGATTGATTCGTTTTGTTTTTCCCTATTTTCGCGGCTTTTGGCCCTTTCTGGTATTTGAATATCAAAAGGTTTCCTGAAGTCGCACTATCCAATGCCATTCTTGGTACCGGATTTTGTTTTAATTTTTCCAATATCATTGTGTGGAGTCCTTTTCTCGAAAGTTCCCATCCAAATCCATAGTAAACAGCCTGTATGCCGCCGCCATAGCCTTTTTCTCCACCACAAGCTCCTTCATTCTTTGAAGGTTCCTTTTTCTTGTGAATACAACAACAGAGGTTTTTGTCGGGTTTGTGGACAATATCCCACTTTTAGGAACCATCTTTCGACGATATTTAGTGCCCGCTGCATTCTTTCGGATACAACAGACCCAAATTTACCGTTTACTTCGATGCTTATGTCGTCTGCAAATGCTTGCGTGTGTTTTCTCTCCCATAAGAGGTCATCAACCACCAAGGTCCACATAAGAGGAGATAACACTCCTCCCTGCGGGCATCCCTTGTTAACTGAGACCTCTCTTGTTGTGTTAAGGAAATTACTGGTAATGGTTCTATGATTAAGCATGAATTCACCTCGTAATGCAGTGGGCTACTCCACGCCTTTGCATAGATCCCAGTATTGAATTGTATGAAGCCGAGTCAAAGGCTCCTTCTATATCTGTTTCTTTGCTTTCCAATGCTTGTTCAGCCTGTTGAGTTAGCCTATGTATGGCTGCATCGCAAGACTTTCCAGATTGGTAGGCCAACTGGTGTCGATGTATCGGTTTATCCCGTAGAACATCGTCCCGTATATATCTATCGTTCAATTACTCCAATGTTTTTAAGAGAAATTATGTTAGGCTGATTGGTCTGAAAGATTTGGTCTCTTCGTAAGACGCTTTCCCGGGTTTGGGAATGAAGACCACTCTTGCACACCTCCAGCTTCGTGGAACATATCCGAAGGCTATGCTAGCTCGGAATAGTTTACACAGTTTTCCTTCCAGTACTTCCTGGCTCTTTTGTGGAAGTGCCGGGATTATACCATCAGGTCCAGCTGTTTTGTATGGTTGAAAGGAATTTATCGCCCACACAAGTTTTGTTCTGTTTACTATTGAGTTTGCATGAGACCAGTTTGTTTTTGAGGCCCTAGAAATGAGTGCCTCAGTACTCCTGTTCTCTTGGTCAAGAATAATCCAGGAAAGTGTGACTTTAGTAGTAAATCTAATGTCTCCTCCTCTGTTTTTGTGAGTTCTCCTTGTTGATTTTTCAGAGATCCCATGCATCCTTATCTCTTTGTAGAGTTTTCCCGAGTCTGGCACATTCTGGAAGGCTTTCAATGCCGTCACAGAATTTCTTCCAGGAATTTTCTTTGGCTTTCCTAATGGCATAGCCATATTCTCTCCGGTACGCCTTCTAGGGTTCCCAGTTCCCCGACCTTTTAGACAGGTTAAAGATACCTAGATTAATTAATAAAATAGCAGAAGTTACTAAAAAGGATCAATATTTTTAAAACCTTATTGGCTAAAAAATATTTTCTGAAAATGTTACTGACTGAATATAAAGAATTTTTAATAAACAAAGCAACAATGGTTCAATTTCACAGCTAAATTTGCTTAGCCTACGATAAGTGACCCTTACCTTATGGGGATGCAATTTCGTTGTGACCTTTTTCGAATCAGGTAGGAAACCCTTTTTTGAGATGCAGTTTCGTAAGAGCCGACTCACCCTGTATAAAAAGTTTTTATTTAAAAAAAAAAAGCGCAACCAAAATTACCAATCGCCGTTTCCGAGCGTTTTTCCGAACACGTCCCCATTTATTTATTCTGAATTTATTCCATTTAGCTGATCTAATAGTAGAACTGTAGGTCTGTTCCTTGTGCTTTTTAAAATATGTATTTTAGGATCGAAGGTCAAATACCAGAATTATTATACTCAATATAAATGAATTCAAGATCAGGGTCGGTCAAAGGCACACTGTACTTATATGGACCATATTTGAATTAAAGTTGGTAGAAAAAAATAAAAAAAAAAAGTAAACCTATAGTTTGTTGGATCTGATTTATTTTAATGCATGAACGTTTCTTATTTTTTAAATTTTCAATAAAAATTTATATTTGTAGTTTGCAAATAAGCAACTCAATGATTTAAGAATACTTTGATATAAGAATTACGAAATAAATTAAGATGATGTATGTTATCAATACTAACCTTATAAGCAGAATAAATTAACAAATAAATAAGTACAATGTGTAAACCGTATAAAAATATAGCTTGTACTCTTTCTTCGTATTGTAAATCATCTTCTCTTGCATAAAATTGTTCATCCTGTATCATAGAATATATGCCATCATACAAAAATATCTGAAACAAAATATAAGATTAATATAATTTTAAAAACCATAAAGAATAAAAAAGTAATTTTTACAACTCAGCTTATGTAGTTGTAAATATTAGCTATTTGTGTATTAAGAGCCATGGGCGCCGCCAGAACCTTTTCCAGGGGGGGGGGGGGAGAAGAATGTAAAATTGTGAGTTCTTTAAAACAAATTATAGAAATGTAGGAATTTATAGACGCAATCCGCTATCCTGTAATATGATACCAAAACCTGGGAAAATGGGACAGGAAACGGCAAAGTCCCTAAGACCAATAAGTCTTATATCCTTCGTACTTAAGACTTTGGAAAAACTGCTAGATAGGCATATTAGAGACGGGATATTGGTTCAAAGGCCAATATACCCAGACCAATACGCCTATAGTGCAGGGAAATCAACTGAAACAGCTCTCCATCAACTAATAAAAAGGGTGGAGAACACACTGGAAAACAAGGAGGTAATTCTGGGAGCATTCTTGGATATCGAGGGTGCATTTGACAATACCTCCGTTGAATCGATCATTAGATCTCTCAAACACAGAGGAATCAAGGACACATGCGTGTCCTGGATCGACTCTATGTTAAGGGAGAGAACTATACACACAACCCTGATGGGAGAGACAACAGCGCCACGGGTAGCGAGAGGATGTCCACAGGGTGGAGTGCTGTCTTCACTCCTGTGGAACCTTGTAGGGCTCTCAAAGATAAGGGACATAGAACCCTGGGATATGCCGATGATCTAGTGATCATGGCACAGGGAAAATACAACACTATAGAAAGAGATCGAATGCAAGAGGCTCTAAATATAGTAACAAAATGGACAGAGACTAAACATTAGCCCAAATAAATAATTGCATTCACCCGCAGGAGAAAATTGGAGGAACTAGGGCCTCTAAACCTAAGAGGTGCAAGCATCCAGCTTAAGGGGGAGGTAAAATATCTCGGGGTTATGATTGACTCGAGACTTACCTGGAACCAGTATCTAGAAAGAACCACAAGGAGAGCGGAAACCTCATTAATGATGGCAAGGCGATCCTTTGGAAAAAAATGGGGGTTAAAACCAGACATGGTATATTGGATTTATAACATGGTGGTGAGACCCATAATAACATACGCAGCTTTGGTGTGGTGGCCAAAGACACAGCAAAGGAAAGCAATAACGAGGCTTAGCAAGGTACAAAGACTTGCCTGCCTCGGAATAACGGGGGCAATGAAAACAACCCCCACTGCTGCAATGGAAGCACTAATAGGACTCCCACCTATTCACTATGTGATACAAGGGGAGGCAAGATTAGGTGCTTACAGATTAGGGAATACATTGGGAAATCTTGACATTAGGCCAGGTCACATGAGTATCTCAAGGTTAGTGACAGGAGACGTGCTAGACATGAGATCAGACTACTTAACCAAGAGGTACTCTTTTAATACTCCCTTTAAGGTTTTAATACAGGAAAGAGCGGAGATCACCATAAGGGAGCCCAATGCCCAACGACAGGAACAAACCTGGTATACAGACGTGCGGAAGGCACTGGGGCAGGAGTATTCTCCAAAAACCCTGATACTAACCATAGCTATGCTATAGGAATACATTCCTCGGTATTTCAGGCCGAGGTATACGCAATTTTGCAATGTGCAAAAACGAACAATGAAAGAGCTGTCGAAAATCAGCATATTCAAATAATGTCAGACAGCCAAGCAGCACTTAAGGCCATATCGAGTCAGAAAGTTACGTCGAGGCTGGTATGGGAATGTATCGAACACTGGCAGACCTAAATAGAGTAAAACTATTTTGGGTGCCAGGTCACAAAGGGGTCGAAGGCAACGAAAAGGCTGACGAACTTGCAAAAAGAGGGTCAGAAGAAACACCGGAACCAGAAACAAACCCAGGAGTACCATAAAGTACAGTCCGGGGTTTTATAAATGACTGGATTCGGGAACAACATATCAACTATTGGGGAAGCACCCCAAAACAGGCACATGGAAAAGCCTTCATAGGCAGAACATGTCCCAAAAGAACTGGAGAACTACTCTTAATGAATAGGAACCAGTTGAAAGTGATAACAGGGTTCATGACTGGGCACGCCCCAGTAAAGGGACACTTGAACAAAATTGGCATGTACAATGGGGAACTCATGTGCCGACTATGTCACAAGAAACCAGAAACGGCCAAACACATACTGTGCGAATGCGAACCTCTAGATCGCAAAAGACAGGCTCTTTTTGGACAACCCCAGATTGATCCAACAACGTATAGAACCCACTCACCCAAGGATCTGTACAAACTTGTACAAGGTACAAAGGTGATAGAGTGGGTGCTATGAACTAACATGGGATAAAACACAATAAGCCAATAGGCTTCAGTGTTATTCGGAGACACATAGTCAGACGAGCCCAGGAGAGAGAAAAAATGATACGGAATATAATCAGCTTAGGCGTGGTTGTCTAAAGTTGCCGAATTTATCGTTTCAAGGAATTAGATACTTTAAAACCTATACCGAAGGTCCAGAGCGAAAACCCGATAAGTAATAAAATTTAGTTATGAAGATATTGCCGTTTAAGTATTTTTTTGTTCTTTTAATTACAAATAAATGCTATTGGTGGTTTGCCTGCGTACATATTTACTTGTAGCGATTAAACGGATTGCTTTTTTTTTCTTCTAAATTGACGTTTGCTATAGATGTACTGAAATAAAGACAATTTGATATCAAATTATCAAATTTTGGCCCTATTGATTAATAAAGAGTTTCGAAAAAAGTTGATCTTTACCCATATATCGATTTCACAAAACGGAGTATATTAACAGAAAGAGCACTAAAAACTATTTGATGATACCTATATAAGTCATTTTTCTATTTTTGCCGACTTATCTAGTATTGGCTATTAACACTCGATGCAATCTATTATTATCAGTTAAGCTTATACCCCAATAATTGTTTGACAGAAGTTGCTATTGTATATTTTTTTTTGGGAAACTTGGAAATTTCCAGGGGGGCAACTGCCCTCTTTGCTCTCCCCTGCCGGCGCCCATGTTTAGAGCAGAAAGTGATGATTTCATTTTTAAGTAGAACTAAGACTGGAAAATCTCGAAAATCGAATTTTCTACAGAGATCAACCAAGAGTCCCTTTTTTGTGACAAATTGCGTGATGTTAACTTTTATGACATATAGGGTGTTTAAAAAGTTTGGATTAAAATTGTTTTCTTAATCCTTGATTCTACACAATAATGAAGATTAATATTATAATATACACATTTTTAAGTAAAAGTCTTTACCATGAAGGAAGATATTTGAAAAATTATGTGTATTTATGAAATTAACTTTATCACCCCGTATAATGAAAACTGGGACGTTTACAGGAAAATTATATTTAGCTTTTCTTAATAATTAGTTAAGATCTACAAGTCTCCCGATTTATGGTACTTTATTCTGAAACACCCTGTATATACCTACATAGTCAAAGGATGAGTAGACTTGCAAAACGCAGTTTGTACAAATTTTCAATTTTTCAGCTATAGGTGGACATTACAATAATCAGTAGAATCGCTATGGTTTCATAAAACCTTGGAAATGCAAATCTCATTACATCCTACTTAATATGTATTGTGAAATCCACTTACGACATGCAAAATGCATTTAGTCCATCGACATTAGCAAACAAGAAGCATTTTGTCAGCAAGACGACCAAACATAACCTTTGTCATATACTCACAGAGTCAAGCGACGTTAAAAGTACTCAGTTCTATGCAGGTACACTGTGTAGTCAAAACAGACTAACTTTAGCCTGGGTACTAGACCACAGAGGATATAAGAGCAACGAAGAGACTGATTTACAAGCCCGAGAAGGAGCTTTTGAGGCTCGTATAGGCCCAGAACCCTTCTGTGGTGTCACAGAGACAGCTATCAGAACATGCTCAAAGCAGTGGATGTTTAAAAAAATCTCAGAGATGGTGGAAAAATTAACCAGGACAGTGACAGGCCAGTGTTCTTAAAAGGACTATCGCCTAGTCATAATAGGAAAAATACCAGATTACTAGTAGGTCTATTCTGTCAAAAAGGGGAGGAAATTGCAGAACACTTATCGCGCTACTGTTATGGTCTATCTAGACTGAGATTTCTTACATTTGGAGAAGAAAAACCAAGGGCAACTAGCCAGGCCGGAGAATTACTTGCTAGTCTATAGAGTCTACTACAAAAGACCGAACTAGACAAGGTACTCTAAACAACTTTTAAAGGATATCCACAATAGGTCTGGAAAGTTCAAGGTAGGGGAGGCCCAAATAATCTAAGGAGAGGCCTCATGACCCACAGTCCTAATTAAATATATTCTACCAGCTCTTAGGCAGAGTACTGTGAAGATCGAGAAACGGTTGTCGAAGAAAATTAAGAATGCGAGTACAACGATATGGAAGAAGTAAATTTTGTTTGAAGTTTTTAAAAAATAAATAAAGTTACTGTTTATTGAGACCAGGTTTTTATTAAAAAATTTTAGATTATTATACCCAAAAATAACTTCGAACAGATACGAACGTCGGCGAGCGAACTCGAAAGCTATAAAGTCGCCACTACCTGCTGCCCTTAAACATCCACAAATAAGGACAGGCACAATCTTTAATAAAGTCAGTTTTAGAACATAAACGATCTGCGCATGCTTAGATATCAAAATAAGAGCGGCACTAATAGTGACTGAATGAACTTGCAATAACTCTCTAATAAAAGCAATACTAATGTTAAGTCCAGTGATTATTTATGCCAACCCAAATACATAACAGATTCACAATAAACTGTTCCTGTTACTATTTGTTTAGTATTCTGTAATATGTTTATATTATACAGGGTGTTAGTAAATAAGTGCGACAAACTTTAGGGGGTGATTCAGCATGAAAAAATAATGACAGTTTGCTATATAAACGTATGTCTGAAAATGCTTCATTTTCCGAATTTTCTTAAAAACTGACGATTTGTTTATTGCTCTGAAACCGGTCAAGATATG